TATCTTATCTGCTGCTAAGTAAACCTGGTTTTCATACAGCCCCAGATCAGTTTAAAGATCAACTAAGTTTAAAGGACTTAGTGAGCTGACTTTTATGGAAGACTGTGCTAAATTAAATTGATTATAGTGTATACTCTTACTACATTTCAACTCATTTCATTTCAGCCACAGCGCCCTGTGTTTGCTCATGAAAATATACACAGTGGGGGGGAACCGTAAGTATTTTCATCTACTCAAGTTCTTCTTTAAATAACAGTATTAAATTTCTAATTGAGTAAAGGGGAGAAATAGCCATCCTAGAAACCATGTATCATCCCGGGGTCCCCTACATAGGAATGGACACAACAGAAACAGGGAGGAGCTAAACTAAGGTCCTGTCTGCTCCTCTTTCTTACCATGATGCATACATGGACCCATAATCCATATTTCCATCCATTCACAATGTTTTGAACACTTTGAGCTCCTATTAAGTCCAAGCATAGGGATCTTCAAAATTCACTGATTGGGGCAGAGAACATTCCAGAGAACTCCAGAATGTTATTTTCCGACCTCAACCCAACCATGCAAAAACTTTCTCTGGACCAGAGATGGAAACAATCTCTGCAAGTGATTCATGGTGTCCTGAGCATGGCATTCTGGACACAACAGAACTGCTTGATAGGACTACTTTCAGGTTATCTAAAATTGCTTCCATTCCAAATTACTTCCAGAAAATGTTGAACTACTCTGTGGTCTGAAGGAAGAATACAAAATTCCAGAGATCTCCAGAACAGTCTTCCTTCTCAAACTGGTGAATTTTGTACATCCCTATTCAAAAGGAAGAGAGAATGCAGGCATAAGCCAAACCACAAAATGTTTAAAATTTCTATAGGGGCCAAAGATAGTGATAACACTGAACTAAAGAGAAATCAAGGTGTCTAGTGAAAATGAAGGTGTCGCACTATGCTAAGGAATCAAACACAAAACACGGTCACAGAGCTGTGTCAGACTGACCTGCAACAGGTTTACCTGAAAATTGAGTATGTATTGTCTCATAAGGAGAGACCAAAGTTGAAGCAAGCAAATAAATATAGTCATCAGAAAGTGGACCGTAACTCAGTCCAAGAATTTCCAACAAGTCCCTTTAAAATAAGCATGACCAAATACCCAGATTTGGGCGGGGGGGGGGGG